CCAGGAGAGTCAACTCGGCGTAAAAGCGGTAGTGGGGGTGAGGCAAGAAGTGGAAACGAACGACACCCCCCACTCTTGCGCTTCATCCTCTCTGTTGCTCTACATAGTCGGTTTCAATTCGTGACTGCGCATGTCAACGTTGAACGTATTTTGTTTCTGTTTGATTGAATTTTGAACTAAACGTAAACCGTGTAAAAATTTAATCCGATTTACGATGCCCAAGCGAGTGTGCTGTGTTCGAAATTGTGATTTCAATCCTGGAGATAAAGAAAATCGAAAAACAATATTCCAATTTTGTGAGGTATGTATTGTTTGCGCATGCGCAAACTTTGGGACGATGCTCAGTGAACTACTGAGCATCGTCCCCAACAGGGTGGGGACGATGCGCAGTGAGCTACTGAGCATCGTCCTCAACAGGGGTTGGGGGTAAGCAGCGAGTGAAGCTTTTTGACTCACCCCCACCACGCGAGTTGACTCTCCTGGTTTCTAGTCTTCTTGGTTGGCATTCGTTCGAAGTGTAAAAAAGAGTAACTTTTTTTGCGCTGAAGATGTCGGAATTTATTCCAAAAAAGCAACATTTGCGGGAAGTTTTACTCCATTATTTTATTTTAAAGAAAAGTGCTGCAGAATCGCATCGTTTGCTCGTAGATGTTTACGGTCAGCATGCACCATCGAAAACCAGTTGTAAAGAATGGTTTCGGCGATTCAACAGTGTTGATTTTGACGTGACAAAGAACGTGAAGGGGCACCGAAAAAATTTGAAGATGCAGAATTGCAAGCATTACTCGAAGAAGATTCATGTTTATCGCTCGATAGGTTGTCAAAAAAGTTAAATGTTGATAGATCCACTGTTGGAAAACGTCTACACGCAATGGGAATGGTGCAAAAAGAAGGAAATTGGATGCCATACAAATTGAAAGAGAGAGACATGGAAAGACGTTTGATCATCTGCGAGATGCTTCGTCAACGACAACAAAGGAAGGGTTTTCTACATCGTATCGTAACTGACGATGAAAAATGGATCTACTACGATAACCCTAACCGCTTGAATGCATGGGTGATGCCAGGTGAACCAGGTCCATCAACGCCAAAACGAAATATCCATGCTTCGAAGATTATGTTGTGCATCTGGTGGGATCAGAGAGGTGTTATATATTATGAGCTGCTCAAACCGTTCGAAACCATCACTGGCGATCGTTATCGACTACAACTGATACGTTTAAACCAAGCTTTGAAAGAAAAACGACCGGAATGAGACAATAGGCACAACAAGCTGATTCTGTTGCATGACAACGCTAGGCCACACTGTTACACAGAGCTCTTCAATAATAAAAAAACGTCGTGCACGACATAAACGCGTAGATGGTCGAACAATTATTATTTACATAAAACACATGCGCGTAACGGTTTTATTCGTCAAGGGGATTTCTTCGGCGCGGCATCGATCGGCGCGGCATCGATTAAAGGGTTGCCTAAATCAATAGCTCAGTTTTTTGTA